CGGGTAAGTTAATATCTCGGGAACCTCGGAGTCTAGGAGGCTGAAATTTAAGAATAATGATCCCCTGCCCACGCTCAACCTTGCCCATTCAAATTCAGCGTTCTCGCGTTCTCGGTTACCACCTACGGCCTCGTAAAAATTCTGACGGATAAATTATTAACTCGGGAATCACGGAAAGATATTCATCCTTCAAGATTTCGAATTCAGCTTTCATACGCTGGAATTTTTAACTGTTTTTCAGTGTTTGAACTATTTTTGCATAGACTAAGGAAGTGAAAATCATTAACAGGCAATCGTTCGATGGGCTGAATTGCACAAAACGCATGATCGTACGGCTTAACCTGGTGCGCGTTGCCATTTATTTTTTTCGAGATTATTAACAGCCAATCACAGAAGTAATGAAAATTTTTAATTTTTTTTCTCAAATTTGAATAAATTTTTTTACTTTTAGACCAAGATGGTTGAGGAAGTACGTGTTGCCGATCTCATCCAGTTGTGCCTATCCACTCTACAGCTTCTGTGTCGTGATCCACATCTTCTGCTTCAGGTTTGTTAACTAATGGCTGCTACTTATCATTCAGAAGAGGTGATACACATAGCTGGATAGGCGATAGCTGCTAACTAGGGTTATGTAACATAGGACGGAAAAGGGTCTTGACACAGCTATGCCGGGCTCGAGGGACATCCCAGTAACATCACCAACACGGTGGTATCTGAACTAACAGTCTGGGAATTTTTGATATTCTTGCATCATATTTGTTAAAGAAAAAATTATTTGTGGTTTAAAAAAAATCGTTTTTTCTTCTCAGATTTCATTCTGCATTCGACGGGGAGAATTTCTGATGTGTCGTGATCGTGATGGCGATTGTGCAGCACTGTTGCCCGTCTTTTGCTTATATCAAGGTTTTGTGGAAGATGAAAATTTGAAACGCAGCGCGCTTGGCCTCATTTCCGAACTTTCTTCACATCCTGAGGTTTGTTTATGTAGTTTTTATATTTATTTTTTCTTTTTTTGTTTTTAAAGTGCACTGATTTCGAAAATGCTTATGTGAAAAATTTTTAAATTTCAAATACCTCTTCTTTTTCATCCAGTGATAAGAGACAAAGGCTTCCAGAAGTAGCCCAAATGGTGGTGAGACTTGTCAAAGCATCCAGTAGCGGGCGAGATCATCGATGACTTCCTCTTTTGAGAGTTCGCTGAAAAGCAAAGTGATGACGAATGCTTATCGTTAGCATGCGTTAACACCAAATTTACCATCGAAACGAATGAACAAATCGTTGGTCGGGAAGGGGGGAAGCGGTGGGGAGGGGG